ATACTTCATTTGCAGAAGGAGGAGGAGGAGGAGGAGGAGGAGGAGGAAGAAGAAGAAGAAGAGGAAGAGGAAGAAGAAGAAGAGGAGGAGGAGGAGGAGGAGGAGGAAGAAGAGGAGGAGGAGGAGGAGGAGGAGGAGGAGGAGGAGGAGGAGGAGGAGGAGGAGGAGGAGAAGAAGAAGAAGAAGAAGAAGAAGAAAAAACCTTAAGGGTTGCCAGTTTCTGTGGGTTGATCGTTGATTAGTTGAATGCGGTTGCAGCGCTGAGGAATAAAACTAAATATGAATGATACAATATGCTTCTTTTTTTGCTGCTAAAAGATCTGATCTTATTAAATGCAAAAACCAATATGGTTACCTCCTCCAAAAATTGCTTGATGAGTTTTTTATGCACATCCAAGGAACTCTTCTTAATGTCCAAGCCTTTGTCAATTAACGGACGAACTCTTACCATTGTGAAGGCTCTGCATCCAATAGGGAAAATCAGAAAACATAATAGACGCATTAATGGAAAATTATTTTAGATTGTACATTAAATTAGTTTTGTAAAGGGCAAGTACGGTGCGAGAGCTCCCACACAGTTTGGCTTCTGTGGAATGGATAAAGTAGGCAACCTTTCCCTTGCTTCTTGCGAGGAAATGGATCATAAGCCTAGGCCTCCCGGCCACCCCTCACATTATGATATTGTTTAATTAATAAAACATGACATTGCCGTAGTGCTTAGCAAATGGAACATGACACTATTGTGTTGTTTGGTACCTTGGTTAATAAAACATGTTATTGACCCTATATGAGACATACTGATCCCTTTCCGCTGCTCCTGCCTCTCATCATCCTCGGCCATACACTGTCTATCGTCTTTCTGTCTCTTTCAGAATGCCTCAACTTCAGCCCTCAATATGTGCTTTTCCAACTATTCGACGTGGATTGAAAGCCATCGTTAGAACACAGTGAAAAACAACACAAAGTAGGGGCATAAAAATCCATAAACATAGCAGTTGAGACAATGACAGCACACGTGCAATCATACAGAGGCATCCATTTCTTTAAAAACTTGTGTTGATTAAAAGAATAAATCCAATAGCAATGAAAAGAAGAACACATAATTTTAAAATACTGGCTGCAAGAGATGTTGAGTGATACCCATAAGCTACAAATTCTACAATATCGGTTCATAAATTAATTTTTTCTTTTGTCATTACTTGAGTTCTATCAGACCCCTAACCAAAAGTTCCTATCTTTATCAATCAAAGAAACAACTACTCACTAAAAAAATATAACAGGCAGGGCAAATTATCACCTAAAAACACAAACCAAAAAATATGAGCTATGAGAGCAACCAGGAGGTTTGCGGTAACAAAAGGGATAACATAAATAGAATTCAATAAGAAAGCACTTTCATTAAATGCAAAAATAGTCAAAAACTAAGAAAAACAATTAATCAAATAGCTAACTTCATGGAAAACTCATAACAACTAAAGAAACTAAAACAACATAAACTGTGTTGTTAAATAAGATGAGAGGAGCACTAGAATTCCAGAACTCCCGGAAGGTGAGATGGACCGAACACAAAGCGCATGGACTTGGATAAGAAGCGGAAGAGCGAAGGCTAAGGCCAGGCGGAAGGCATCAAGGCGTGCAGCGCACCAAAGGGATGAGACCACACGCTGAGCATCGACGATTAGCAGAGTGGCAAGCGGCGGGGCTGGATTTGCGATTTGGCGAACGTGATAGTTCATCGATGCTGAGACACAGGACAGAGCTAGGGCAGCGACTCCACTACTGACGGCCTAGTGACAAAAAGATCGAAGGATTTCTCTTCTTCCTTGCGACCTACAATACATCAAGCTCAGGAGGAGAGGAGGAGCTGTGAACCCTAGACCCAATGCATCGAACAAAATGAGAGCAAATGAATCGGGAAAGACATCTGGTGTTCTTTTATGTGGGTGAGCGACAAACAGAGAATAGCAAACGGAGACGTTAAAGGGCGAGTATTGTAGCAACGTAAAAAGGACGTACTAACTCTCTACCGCTCTTTATATAAGGATATAAGGAAATAATTACATAAATATGACCAAAATAAAGATGGTTTACAAAAATATGATTCATTACTAGAGTAGTAATGAAATCATAGTAATTCATTTTCAAGTTTTGAACTTTAGTTACCACAGCACTACATTGTAGTACTGAATAGTCATATTTATGTAAATAAGTTTTATTTTAGTAATATTCTCGTAAATAACCCTTATATAAGTAGGGGATTTGAAATATTATTATTTTACATATGAATTATGTTATGAGAATTTTTTATAAATATTGTCTTACTTACAATTGATATGAATGTTTTGAAAAGATTTTTCCTCCCAAATGTTTTACCAAAATGTATATATGTATCAAACCTGATTATTTTACAGGGTTGGGTGGGTCTTACTTAGCATTTCAAGCTAATTTTTGTTTTCTTTTGTTTTCTTTTTGTACATGATTTTGTACAGGTGATGAACCGATGAAGATGTTGATTTCGAGAGCTTCCGCTAGAACACATAGATTAAAGTTGACTTGATAATTTATTTTAGTCTTAATTTTTAAGAATTGTAGTTGAACAATTAGTTTTGGAAATTTAATTTATGTATAAATTATTTTACCTTGTGCCCTCAGTTAAGAGAGAATCGAGTGTGGCGGTAACTGTTATGAAGCAAAAAAAATAAAATCAACGGGGTGAACCGTTGCCCAGATAATCAACGATAAATAAATATCGTTGCCCAGAGCCAAAAGGCTAAACCAACTTTTATTCCAAGATAACAAGAATGAACCCTGGCGAGGGGTATAAATAGCCTTCTACAAGCAACCCTAATCAAGCCCAAATTAATTAAATCCTAATTAGGCTCATACTAACTCTACTAAGTACTCTACTAATAATAGGCCCAAACCAAAACATAACATTAACCTTAATAATAATAAATAAACTATAAAGACAGCCCTAACTCCGTGGGCCCAAGCCCGGTCCCGCCCCATGCTTTTCCCGCTCTCTATCAGTAACGCCCTATTTCCCTTTGAATTTTCTGCTGCACAATTATGATGTTTTCAATTAAAGTTATTAATAAATAAAGTTATTTTTAAAGGAATTTTGGGTGGGAAATTTGGGGGTGTTACACACTTGGACTAAAAGGAATAAACATTCTATGGGCGGTTCGATTTTGATTATGGTTATTTGGATAACCGATATGTCAGTTTGGTTCGAAGATACACTGGATTGGTTCGGGACTCGAACCGAATCCGGCCCTACTAATTAGGCCCTCCATAGCATCGAAGTTACCACACAACCCATTAGAACATATATTAATATACCCAAGAATTGAACCACCAAAATCCCCCATTTTCTTAGAGTTTCTTGTTTTTTTAGTGCAGGGGGCGTCTGGGGGATGGGGCTTAGGATAATTTGGGCTGAAACTCACTCCATTGAGTTTCGAACTCGAGACCTCTCGTCAGGGAGAGTGAGTCGGTGACGAGATGGACTGGAACGATTCCTCTCTAAGAGTTTCTTCTTCTTAGAACTCATCTCAATGGACTTAAAATAATAAACTATAAACCAATGTATGGATAATAACTATAGTATGGATAATAACTAAATATCAAGTAAATATGAATGTGTATAGTATATATACTTATATAGTATATATAATGTGTAAAGAATTATAATATGAATGTGTATAAGTATATATTTATAAATAGATAATTAATATATAAGTAGATATAATAATTATATAAATTATATATATGTAGAAAGAATTTGGAGAAGATGAAGAATGAAGATTGAATATGAGAGATTTAGAGTAGAGAATTAGAGAGTAGGAAGAGTTGTAGAAGAAGAGGTGTAAAAAATGTAGAGAAAATAGGAGTTTAAATAGATTTTTTTTTATACCCCACCCCACCCCCCACCCCCCTAACCCCCCAGACCCCCCCTCCTATGCTCCCAACGGCTATAGTGCCGTTTGGGAGCCTTCCCAACGGCTAGGAGCCTTCTAAAATCCAAAATTTTTTTTTTTTTTTAAATATGGGCGTTGGAGGCCCGAACCGGGCCCGGCCCGGCCGGGCCGGTTCACTAAAATGGAGGCCCGTGCCCGGACCGCTTTACCACCGGGCCGGGTGGCCCGAACCGGCTAAGAACCGGTTGACCGGGCCCGGCCCGAGTCCACCCCTACCAGACGGGCTCGTAATCGAAACAACACTTTTCCATGAATTAATTGAAGCGTAACGAGAAAACAATAGTTGAAAGTAATCTTTGATTGGATGCAAACTGCCTGGAACGCCAGTCACTTTTCTAGAGGAGGATTGGGTTTACGTCGCAGCCATTCTTGAAAGTTTGAGCACAAAGATGGACACTTAAAGAAATCAGCATTATGTGGACACTCCAAAAGCTCTAGGACTTGGTTGTTTAGTAAAGTGATAATTTTCTCCAAGTAAGCAGTTCAAGAAGTATTCATTATGCTACACAAGTTTGAGTGCTACAGTTCATATAGAAACTATACTTGGAACAAAAACCCCACTTACAGCTTTCATGTATTTATGAATTGGATTAGTACAAATATGATTTTACGCCAACTAGCTCCAGATCATATGGTGCTGATGACACGTTGCCACATAATCACATTGTTGAATGCTTATAATTGAAAGCGGGCAGAACCAATCCTCTAGATCTCCTTGTCTCTTGCAACGTAATTATTGCCTTTGCTGGCCATTACATGTATTTCTACTGTGGAAATTTTTCCTTCTTGTTTGAAGTATGTTAACTTTTGTACCTCTCTATTTTCATTTCATAGATTTTCTTTCCTACTCCCAAATGACCTGTTGATATTGCCTTTGTTTGGTTATTGGCGATTTCATGGAAACGCCAGCCTAATCCGCTACAATTTGTAGCGTTTCAGTGTAGTTTACGTTGGCGTTTTGGCAGAAACGCCAAAAGCCAAACGCAGCCATTATATGTGAAGAAACCTTAGAACCAATGCGGCTCAAAAACACCAAATATACCATCAATTAGCATGTACAATCAATAGATAATTGGAAAGACATATACACCAGGCCAGCCAAACTAGGTAGACTACTCCCATAAGTCATAACATATTAGCATACTACTAAAAATTCATTGATGCACCTTCAGATCCTTTTTTTAAGGATTTGTGCTCCTGAATGGTACACAATTTGGGATTTGGGAGATGCACGAGGAAAGTTCAAAAGCTTCTTTGTGGCCTCGAAATGCAAAGAGTCATTGATACTTTGAGCTGCACGAATGACAAAGTGGTGGAGTGCAGGCGACTTGGAGAGTAGTAATTTCACGAGGCACAATTCCATTTCGGATGCTCTGAACCCGTTGAGCTTCACAATCTCTAGTGTCCTCAAATGATCTTCAATAGTGTCCTCCAAAAGTTCTGAATCAGCTGCTTCAGAACCTTTCCAAATATTAATTTCCAACACGAATAGCTTGGGGGATTTTTTAAGCAATTGGACAGCAAAAGGAAGATGCATCCCAAAACCAAAATTGAAGCCATGAAGTTTGATTTCTTCCAGATTTATTGCAGTGGGGAAGGCCGTTGAGGCCACCGCAACAGCCGCATGCTTAAGAATAATAAAATTCCAAAAAGAAATTAAGCCGAGAGATGGAATGAAAAACAAAACTGATTCAAGCTGATTCAACTAATAAAAAGAATGTGATACAAAAAAGAACATGTTTATAATACAAATAAATATCAATATATGAGGACGAACCGAAGAAATTCTCACCGAACACAAAGAGAGAGAGAGGGTCTTAATACAGCTCAAATGAAGCGGGAGCAATGTTCTTCCAGTCGAACTTGTAAAATTATTTATGGACAAACTTTTAAGATTTGGAGTGCTGGTGACGAAATTAGGAATACCAGCGCAGAAGTACAAACCCAGCTTCTTAAGTTTGGGCATGCTAAAGACCAGTCCCTTATCATTACCCCTGAACTCAACCAATCTGAAATATGACGAAGTCATCCCGGGGAATATACAGGCAGCATTTGCCGGAAAGTCAAAAAGGATAAATTCAACTTTCAGTTGCTTTATGGTCTTGCACCAGAGCAGACAGGATGGTACCTTGTATTTTGTTAAGCCATAAGGGGCCGAGAGGTGAAGTTCCTCAACGCCGTTTCTTGAAAGAAAAAGACACCACCTGTCTAAATCTGACTGCTTCAGCGGCTGCTCAGATGAGGAGGAAGTGTAAAACGTGAATTTCTTAACGGGTCCAGCTCGGAGCATGAGAATGTTGTTTATTATGCTCACAACAGACGAGCAGTCGTCCTTACGGTTTCTTATGGAGCTGTAGAAGGCCGAGTCAAAGACTAGTCTCCCTTGGCGGTACCAAGCATCCCTCCACTGAGTTGAGAGCAGAGCGCATCTAGCGGCGTCTCGAGTGGGCAATCGCTCCAAAATCCTTTCTTCTATCTCTTCCCGCAGCTCACTAATCGCAGTTTTTCTTCGACGATAGATAGACATCAGATCGGAAAGAGGAATACGTATGGATGGGTTTATCCGTAGTGCAAATTACCTAGGTAGACGCCCACCATGGGCACTGGGCAGGGCCGGTCCTCTTGAAGTCCAATAAATTGGGTATCATCTTAAATGGCAATTAGTGGAAGGTAAGTTCGAGTGCGTATACCGTACATCCTGCTGTACGGTGCAAACCGTATAACCAGTGGCAATTTTGTAAATTTAGTGAAGATAATGCTTTCTGCTAGATAAGCATGAGTGTCATATTAATGAGCAGTAGTCCAATTTTAATGAGTACTGATAGTCTAATAATGAGCAATGTGTCATTACACGAAAGCTGATATCACAAATAAAAAACGGTGACATTTTTGTAATTTCAGTAAAAATCGCGATTCTCATTAGATGAGCATTAATACACTTTTAATGAGTATTATACGTATTCTACTGAGTATTAAGAGTCGAACAATGAATATTGTGATATCAACTTCATATATTGTAATTCACTTTCTTTTTCTTATTTTTTTCGTTTATGAAAACTCATTAAATTGTACCTATATTAAACTCCTATGAACTTTCATATGTGAATCTAATGTAATATGGTACTTTTTTAAATATGCATTGGGAGAACACTTTAAAATGAGCATAATATGAGTACTGTTTGAGCATGTGTAACTTACAAAAAAGCATTAATATGAAAATCATAATTTTTTAGTTGAGTATCAAGACATTTTCTTTGAGTATCAAACCTCCTTTATTGAGTCTAATAGTACACCAATATCAAATGAGCATACTCACTTTACGAATGAGTATCAAAAAATTCAGCCGGCTCATTCAAAATCCCTTCGCTGCTCGAATATTAAATGAGCATATATAGCTTACGAAATGAGTTGTGAAAAAATTTAAATAAACATTACACCAATAGGTATGGATATCACATTTTGAAATGAGCATAACACAAATCTAAATGAGCATATAACTTATAAAAAATCAAAGCATGTTAAAGAAAAAATAAAGAAAAGAAATAACTAAAACAAGAAAACAATAAAAACTGAAAACAATGAAAAATGAAAAGCCACCAAAAAGTGAAAAGCAAGAAACGATTAAACCAAAGTGAAAAGCAACGAAAAGAAAAGAGAAAACCAAAAAGAAAGAAAAAAACGGGTAAAGACATAGTGTGTGAGAGGTATTTCCCGAGCTTGGTGCTGGTAGTCCGTAGCAGCCATCAGCGAAAAATAAAAAAATTGGCGGACGAGCAGTAGGGGAAAAGAAAAGCAGCAACAAGCATTAACCTAATCTTTACCATTGAACTTGGATTTAATTACAAAAAAAACCCGGCTGTACTATGCCCTAGGTACAGCCGGCTCTACGGTATATATTACCGGGTAGTTCTAAATGCAGCCAAATAATTGCTATTTTACAGTGAATAATTAAAATTAATTATTATAATATAATCATAATGCCTATTATCTCCTTGCACGCAAACTCCATGGCATTGTTTTCAATGGAGACTGGTGCTGCATCAGACGAACATATATGTTCCGCAATTGGTCTTACTCCCAGCGACGGCCGACGACAACCTTCTAGTGGGGAGGTATGATTTCTCAGTCCAGACGGCTACGGACTGGGACCTCAGGGGCTACAACGGCGAGCCGGAACACATTCTCCCTGCCAGACCGGTGACCTCAGGGACTACAACGGCGGATCCCCTCTCGAAACGATGGAGTTGACATTCATGTTATTTCCGTGTTTATAATTGTGTTTTTGATTAGTTTTGAGTGATTGTTACTCTAGAAATTACACACTTTTGGTGTAATAGTTTAGTTTGTAAAATGTTTGTAAATTGTTTAGATTAGGTTGGTTCTGAGCTCAAACAGGTCCAAGACCACTCTAGGGACCATTGGTAAACATCACAAATGGGAGGAAGGTGCAAAGATTTCAAGAAAAGATGAAGATTCTGATTTTTGGTAGTGTACCCGGTCGAGTATGCTCTATACCCGATCGGGTAAGTTGCTGAAAAGTCAAATCGAATCAACCCGGGAACAAGGCAACATGCAGGAAGATTTTTAACTCGATCGCGTATCCATACCCGATCGGGTAGCCGACATACCCGATCGGGTATGACCCCAGATTTTCAGTTTCGAGGAAACTAACCCTTACCCGATCGGTTGAACTGAAAACCCGATCGGGTACACGACCCTGCAGGCCTAAAAAGCCTATAAATACACCCCATTCCCTCCACAAGAAATACACCAATTCCTTTATACTCTTAAGCTCAGTTTAGAATAACATTTCCCTATATTTCTTTTAGTATGTTTAGTCTCCAAATGAGGAGCTAAACTTCCATTTCTTGGTTTTGCTCTTGAAGCTTGATTGATTATTAAAGTTGTGAGTTATTTTCTTACTTTCTCCTCTTGATTATTAATTCTTCCCTTAATCTCATTCTATATCATTGTTGGAGGGTGGCTAAGTGACGATTAGTTAACGTTCCGACATTGATTATTACTAGAAACGTTCAACGAACCGATGGTTAAACGTTGAAGGTTTCATAAGTAAGTAACTTCGGTTTATTAATGCACGGTCGTGGTTAATAAACTTAAGAGGGATTAATTTTGTTGGTTAAACCGAAACCGTTGTGTTGAGGTTATCAATCTCAATTGATTTCATCAAGGAGTTAAAGAGGTTAAATGCTACTATTAAATCGGTATACGGCGTTGTTCTATATTTGGTTAATAGTAAGGGTTATTAATGAACGGTCGTTGTTAATAACTACCCTCGATGAATTGGATATACTCCTCGATTGAGTATTCGAGAGGGGATAAGTTATAGATATAACAATGATCGACTAAAATATATCAACAAGTGGAAAGTAGCAAGACCAAGTCCCTTTTATTCCTGAATTTAATTCCATATAACTCGTTCATCTTCGTGTTTAATTTAATTAAATCACTCAACAAACAAAACCCCCCTTTATTTACTATTTACATAAAAAGAAAGTTATTCCTTTCTCTGTGGATACGAACTCTACTACGCTATACTACGTATTAGTGCTAGTATTGAAATTTATTTTGAGTGCACACACGACAAAGTGCACGTCAGGAGTCTTAGAAGAAGGTCAATGCACGACTTGATATCACATCCCAAACTGTACCCAGAAGGCCGAAAATCATGGCAATTCCAAGAAACCGAACTCTTATTTGGGAATTGGGATTCGCCTGAACACCTCCTTTGCCCTCTATCTATGACCGCATCTACCAAACATGTCCACAAGGGCAGAGGAAACAAAACAGTCCAGGGAGATCTCATCTTTCACAAGTTCAGCATAGAGTTTGGCGTGCTTCCAGCTTCGATACCTCATCCGTAGTAGTTTTGTCTAAATCCAGAACCCTTCCCCTTTATCTAAATCCAGAAGCCTTCTCGAACAACTCTAAAGTTTTGTCGCACGATCCACTTCGATAGAATCATAGAACGAAACAGAGAAATTTTAGTAAGGGTGAATTTGTAAAGTCGCCCAGTTTATTTTAAACCATTTCATACGTGAGGCTGGGCAAAGTAAAAATTAGGCTGTGTTTGGGAACAGTCCACTTTTTTGTAGCCAGTTCAATTGCTTTTCCTTTTCATTTTTAAACTTTTATGTTTCAATTTGATTTTCTTATTTCACATTTACGCTTTAGCCAGCTTTGGGAGTGTTTGCAATTGCTTCAACTTTAAAAAAGTGATTTTTGAAAGTGATTTTGGAAAAAGTGATTAATAGTAAAAGTTAGTAGTGTTTGAGAAAAAAGTGATTCTGGAAAAGTAAAAGTTGGTAGTGTTTGATAAAATAAGTACTTTTTGTGTAATAGAAAAAGTGAAAAGCAGTTTAAAGCACCCTTCTACCTGCTTCCAGCTTTTAGCTTTTAAGTGATTAATTTAAACAGAAGCTGTCATTTGAAAACACTATTTTCAACTTTTTTTAAGCCAAAAGTTGAAAAGCGTTTTTTTAAGCAAACCCAAACACTCCTTTTGTCAAAGACTAGGTTTTTTATTTGCGCGTTGTGCAATTAGATTAAAAATGTCGAATGTTATATACGTAGAATAGAATTCATAAGCTTAGAATTCATAAGCTAAGAAGATATCATGTGGGGTTGTCAATTCTTGTAGAGGGTACCTAGATATAAGTAGGGATGGACTAGGACGGGTTGGACCGACCTAGTCCCCACCCAATCCCGGCACTGTTTAGGCCCGACCCCGGTACAAACTCAGGCCAGTACAGCCGTACAGGGCCTAAATATTTTAGTTCTGGTCCCTCTCAGTCTTGGCCAGGAGCCCGGCCCGACCCGATCCGAGTCCATCCTTAGATATAAGAGGAAAACACGTGGGTGCTCAAAATCTCCTCCAATACATGAAGCATTAATATTTAATAACAATGCAATAAATACCGAGTATCATAATTATGGATACTAATTTGATTAGCACCTAAAACCAACATGCAGCATACAATATGAAATGATATTTGACTATTTTTCTAAAAACTAAAAGATAAATAAAACAATACCCATTAGTAGTAAAAAATGGGATTTTTTATACGAAGTAGAAAATAACGACTCCGTATGAATTACAAATAGACGTAGTAAGATATACCTTCTCTATCTAACAAAATAGCACCCTTTAATAGTAGCTAAGTGCGTGAAGTTTGAGCCAACCGAGCTGCTGCTACTTCATTGGCTTCAGATTTTACCTTCAGCACAAAATGTCTCTCCTAAGATATAATCTCCTTAAAAAGTCCTCCTATTAAGGTCAAGTAACATAAAGGGAAAATTAAGTAAATAACTAATCAAGCTAAGGAACAAATCCTTTATATAGAACATTTCAATGATAAAAAATGTTGATCTTCTAATCGCAGAGTAAGATGTTATTTTCTACAATTCTAATGAGTGAAAACATAATATATTACAGGATTTCTTAAATTGAATATTTACTTTTGGAGCCCGTTGGATACAATAATTAACAGAACTGTATTTTCTAATGCAAAAGTGTTAATTAATTTAAAAATTAACCGGTAGGACATAAATTATCGGGTATAACATATTTAATCCAACATATTAACACATTTGCATATGATTGTTC